ATGGATTCAATGCACTGTACATCAAATGGAGAGTCCTAATTCTCCAGACCCTCTTCCTGGGACCAATCTGAGGCCTTCCCGCTGCTACGCCATGCAATAATGACCCGTCCTTCTTTGCGCCGGAGATCTGAGTCCTTGGCGGCCGTTGCTAGTCTCACCCTTCGGTTCGACTGAGTTGTTCTCTCATTCGATTGATTAATTAAATATGGAGACAGAATTAGTAGTCCTGGGAGGGTCGATCAAACCAAGACTACTTACCCAGTATCTCCAAAACACTGAAGTTGCAATTGACAATCAAGGGTGATAAATAACTTGGACCTCTTCATATATTTTGCTATGTGTGGAGTTAGTAACTCAGACGGTGGGACGTTATTTAAATTTGTGATGTAATTGCTAGTAATCTTGGTGAGGTTTCGGGATTGCGATGCGAAGCATGACGATGAATTTTTTTTCTGGGCAGTGGCTGAGGGAACAGTGACGGGTAATGACTACTTGAGTACAGCACCGAGTAGTCTAGAATAGTGAGTAAGTGACAAGTAATAAGTACAGTATATAGCTTAACTAAATAAACAGACCACATCCCATCTCCAGAGTTGAGCAGCAGTGGACGTCCACTTCACTGAGAAATACTGAGTGTAGCAGTAGTTACAGCGGTAGTAGCATCAGCAGCAGCAGCAGCAGCAGGCTCGATGACCGGTGCACATCAATACCTCGTCAGGGGCGGAGCCGTGGTTGGATGGGCTGGGCTCCACCCGCTGCAGCCAACCCCTCACTCAATCCGTCCGTGGATGTTCACGGGCCAAGCGCTGTTAGCTTAGCGAGACTGAGAGGGGAATGGATCATAGATGAGGAAGTGACTGGAAACCAGCCAGGCTGACTGACTGACTGACTGACTGACAGATAGACATCATGGGATGGGATGGTCATCCAAAGAGAGCGAGATTGTCCGATGCTTCACAATAAATCTCTCCGAAGAATGATTGATTGATTGATTGATTGCTTTCTTACTCCCTCATCCCATCATCCCACCATCATTCCAAGAAAGATCCGGTGACCTGCTCGGACACGATACAAGATAATCAGTCCATGCTCACAAGTGCATGTTCTCTCTCTCTCTCCCTCTCTGTGCGCCAGGCGGCTTACACGCTCTCACATACTATATGTGTGCATGTACAGCACCTACATAGTACCAGCAATTAGTTAGTTACCCGAAGACACAGCCTCCCCCTCCTCTGCTAGGCCTTTCTCCCAAGCCGACCCCCCTGGGCCCTAGGTCTATCTGTTTAATTTGATCCTCATCATCCCGCAGGTGATGCTAGTGCTGCTAGTAGAGATATATTAGGAAGTTAGGATTAAAGCAGGAGTGGGTGGATTGAGTGTGGTCTAAGGATCTCATCTTAATATAATCAAATATAACTAGTACTCATGTATTATGGATACCCCAGTTTAAGAAGCTCCACCTTTCGCTCCCATGGTACAGGGACGAAGACTATTGCTACACTAGATCTACAACGATGGGCTAGAGTGAAGTGGGATGGGGGTGGATGTGTGACTGGTAACTTACTGTGTACTGTACTCCGTAGATATTGCGACCACTGATTTACTATGCCTGGTTCAATTGATCTGACAGCACTGCTTCCTCTCAGCAGTAAATCAATCACCAGCCACTCAATCCTATGAGTACTAGTACTGAGTACTAATTTGATCGAGTCTCATTGGATCTGCGACTTTTAAATGTATCTCCCCCCCAAATTTACCTCCTACCTCCCTCTCCACGTTCAGGTTAATCCTTCGAGGTTCCTCTTAAGTCCGTCCTTGGCCCCTTCCCGAATCTATCCGCTTTTTCCATCGTCCATCACCATCATCGCCATCATAATTTCCCATCTTTTCTCTTCCTTCCCAGTGTCCATCACTCTGGTGCAGTACCTGCCATTAACGCCTTTAGTCTTTCTGGGGCTCGTTTGGCTCTTGTCGCATCCCTACGTTTTATCTTCCTCTAACGATCCACTCTTACTTCCTTTTCGTGTAGTTTAATTCTCGCACTTCTGCTAGTCAAACTCGTGTGCCCTCGTTACTATCCGTTGTGTCGGGCGAGGCTCGTTGTTTCGTGTTTGGCATCACTCGGAACACGGAGAAGACAAAGCAGCAGGCGGGTGGAAGCAAGAAAGTTGCGCAAAAGGATATCGAACGTCAAAATTAGCTGCTTCAGCAGCTAAGGTTGTGTCCCCCAAGGAGCGAGGTGAAACGGGGTACCTGCTTTTCCCATCCCCGCCGGGTTTGCCTCAATTTCTTCAGTAAGTCAATCAGTCAGTCTGTCAGTCAGTCTCCCCTGAACCTCCACTTGCTTGCTTGATTTCCATCCTCTACGCATCATCATTATGTATGGGCTTGAGTTGGGTTCCTGATTTGGTTGTTATGTTCGTTTTTATTGAGGTTGTAATTTTCTCCTGACCTTTTTTTCTTCTTACTCATTTTTTTTCTTCACTTCGTCTCCCCCCTAAACATCCTCGTGGATGATAATGTCATTAGTGAAAGTCGTGTGTCATCTATTTCATGGTTCCATATTTCCCCCCCAGTTGGTAGTCTCACTCTCCTAAACTACTGTCTGCTCTTGCTCTGCTCCATGTTCCTCCCTCCTGCCCCTCTCTCTCTTCCCCCCTCTCTTTCTTCGCAGCTATTCTGGTTCTCACTTTCTTCGGTCCATGTAATTTCTTCCCGGCCTCAGTTTCTCTGGGTTCCGTCTCTATTTGTGGTTGTATGAATCATTTAAGTCCTTCCTTTTACATCGCTGGGTGGGTTTGCCGTCTAGACTGTCGGGCCTTACCGTCTGGTCTTCGGGGGAGGGAATGAGGGAGGAGCCTGGGAAGAGGAGCAGTTGATGGACCCGCGATGGGCTTCATGGGCCGGGGGAGATCCACTGTTGCCAGTCCTCTGGCGGGCTCGTCCTCCTCCTTGGGATCACTAGTTGCACCCACCCATCCGTCTTTCGTCTTCTACCTCTTTGGTTCTGCTCGGACCTAGTCTACCAGTCTGGGTCGCCCCCCTCTCTTTTCTCCCCGCTGCATACGCCGGTCGCTCGCTCGCTCTCAATCACTATTCTGAGAGTAGAGCGAGCCTGCGCGCGAGGGGAATGGAAAGAGATTGGGGGAGAGAGGGAAATCTCTCCGGGCTACCACTACAATCCACTCACTATCCAGTGTCCAGTGTCCATCGTCCACCGTCCACAACAGTCCTATCTGTCTGTCTGTCTCTTGACTCTTTTAGCAAGAGTAAGACCCCGTCTGGCCGTTTGGCGTTCCCTGCAACACCCGCTCCATACCCGGCTCTGGTCTAGTCTGACTGGCCTTTCCACTCATTCATTATTGCCTGCGATGTTTCCTGGTTTTTCTGATCACCAGGAAGGGGTTGCCGCCTCGATCTTTTCTTATTTTTCTTTTTTTATTTTTTGGGGTTATTCTTCTCGTCGCTTTTTTTTTTATTTCCTTATTATTATTTTATCTCACTTTCCCATTTTATTTTTTTTGAGCTGAGGGGGAAAAATGATTTTTTACCCTTCCTTTCTCAATAAAAATAAACAGTGGATGATTTTGATTTTATTATTTTATTTCCCACTTTACTTTTCTTACCTTTAATCTCTTTCTCTTGGTTTATCCCCCTATAGCCATTACTAAAGCGCTACTCTAAAGAGAGAAGAGGAAACACCAGAGGCAGAGCAAGAGCAAAGCAGAGCAGAGCAGAAGCAGATCCTCTTACTATACCTTACTGGGAGAATCCACCAGTGAATCTGCCAATATTATATCTTTCCCCCGCCTGGGTTACTTTAATTCTATCTCTCTCCCCTGCTGTGATCATCATTATTATTATCATTATCATCATCATCATCATCATCACCACCATTATCATCACCACCATCACTACCAACACCAGTGCTCATCTTTATACTACCAAACTACCACTACTTATATTTGTTTGGTTGTGTTTTAATCTACCTTTCTGTTCTTGTGCTACTAGGGTTGTACGTCTATTGTCCCTTCCTCCTACCATCGGAACTCACTACTTCCCCTCCTCACCTTCCACGGAGCATCTGGAACACTTCTTTTTTTCTCTAATCTTTATTTCCACGTTCGGTATCTTTTTGAATATTTTGTTTCATATGGCACCGGTGACAGTTGTGAACTTCAGTGTGGATAGATTGGCTTACATACCTGCTCCGAAACAGGCCTTGAACAGCACAGCAGCAGCAGCAGCTCCTCCAGTGTAAGCTGAGCTGGACTCTCTCTCTCTCGCTCTCTTCTTTTACTTCTACTTCTTTTTCGTTTCTTCCTGATCAATTTACTCTTCTCTATTTTTGTGTGGGTGTTGGTGTGTTGTGTGCTTCTTTGCCCTCTTCTCTCTACTCACCCACCCACTCACTCACTTTGATTGATCGCTTGATCGCTTGATCGGCCATCAATTGAGTTCACCATTCAACCCTGGACCAAGCGACTTAAACTCCCTGTCAAAACAGGCTTCGACTTGCCAGCAGAAAGCTTGGGAATTGCCGCAGCTTTGGACTTGGTCAGGTTGGAGAGTAAACCTACCTACCTACCTACCTACCTACCTACTCCTCGATCCGATCGTTATCCGTGGAACCGCAGCTCCAGTCGACCCAGAAAGTCGCTAGGGCCAGACGCTTGCTCTCTCTCCAGATTCCCACCTTTTCCACCTTTTCCATCCTTTCCACCTTTCTTTTACGAGGAGTGATTTGAGAAAGGACGGGCCCGTGCTCGCTGTCGATCCGGGTCACCCAAGTCTGGTGGTCCTTAAACTCAGCTCAAGAAAGAGGGGGATTTTAAACTTGCGCCATCGACCCTTTTCTACGGTTCGCCCGTCGACTGTGAGCTCTTTTCGACTCTCGACTTGTCATTCTCTCCGACTCTTTCCTTTCCTTACTGCCAACCACCAACTGCTTCTTACCTACTCTCTCCCCTCCACCACCACCACCACCCTCCCCCCCCTCCCCTCCTCCAACCTAATCCCCTTCCCCCCGCCTACTCTCCCCTAAAGGTTAATTTCGCCTCCCCCTCCCTGTTTCTTGGTGCTATTACCTTGAAGCTTTGCCATTTTCTGCTTGTGTGCTTGTGTGTGTGTCTCCCGCATACTGGCAAGACATCAAATAGTGGAAGCGAGCACAAAGTCCCTGAGCAAAGCCTTTTGGCAGCTGTTATCCCGAATTCGTTCCTTTTACACTTCAAATCTCCTCACGGCTGTTCTTTCCTTTTCGTGCTTGGGGAAACCCGAACTTCCAGTGATAACATCCCGGTCGACCTAGCCGTGTTGCTGGGAAACCTTGATCTTCGGTGGCCTTAACTTTGATCCGATTTACCTCCTGGACCCCCTTTCAACTAGGTTCGAACCTTCAGACAAAGGCAAACAATGGTCAACGGCACCACCACGGTGCTGGAGCCCACCTTTATGGGATATGTTGCAACAACACAGGATGCGCTGATTCTGTTTGAAGCCTGTCTCACAGGCGTCCTGCACCATGTCCCTCGTCGCCCCCACGATCGGGAACGGAGCCACCTCGTTCGCAGCGGCAGCGTCTTCATCTACGAGGAGAATTCGTCGGGAATCAAGCGATGGACGGATGGGGTGACTTGGAGTCCCAGTCGTATCCTGGGCAACTTCCTGGTGTACCGAGAGCTGGAGAAGCCCTTTCCGCCAGGGGAGAAGAAGAGAGCGATGAAGAAGGCCAATCGGCGCCCGGTGCCGTCGACGCGACCGGGGGAGCCGTATCCGCGACAGGATAGTAACGGAGGCTATTCTCCTTCCTCGACAACCGGGCCTTTTGGCGATAGACCGCATCAGTCCGACGTGGAACGTGCGCTGGTGGGCTCGCTGGTGGATTCGTACGGTTTTAAGGATTCGGGGTTGGTTAAGAAGACGATGAGCGTAACGGTCTCCGGAGTGACGCATCACCTGGTGTCTTATTACAGCGTGGACGATGTGCTCCGAGGGATGCTGAATCCGCCATCGGTGGTCGAATCGCTGAGATATATCCGGCCCCGTGCAGAACTAACGCAGAAGCAAAGCTTCCGGGCCCCCATTGATGATGTGGAAACTGGAGGGTTGGAGAATCCGAATGACCCGTCGCATGCGCTATACGGTTACCGACCTCACGCTCCAGGCTATGCAATGACGAACTCGCATCCCGACTTCTACATGCACCCGCCTTATGCGGCGATCCATCCGCCCCAGTCCACACCAATACCTGGATACTCGATGGGAGGGTCGATTCCGGCACAATCCGCCCCCAATCCATATCTGCCTGCACCATCCGCCCCTACTCAAATCCCACAGAAACCGGAGGACTACACGCAGTTCCGACAGCCTTCGTATGGCACCAGCTTTGATGCGCTCGGCCACAACCCTCTATCCTCGTCAATCCCGTCGGTTCTCAACACTGCCATGCCGAGTTCCTTGAGCGACCGCAACCGATCCCATTCCGACCACAGCCCGTCCGCCTACCGCAACTCATCGATATCCTCGCGCAGCGTGGCCACGGACGCAACGTCACCGATCGATCCCTCGACTCCTGCTACATACTCGCGGGGCGGGAGTTTCAGTCTGGGCCCGCTTGACGGGTCGCATCAGCATCTGGAACACCGGGGGCTTGGGGGATTTGACCCAGGCATTTCGCGTCGGGAGTCGGGCCCTATTCCTACGCCTTACTACACGGGCGGGGACCGACATCAATATTACGTGGGGGCCACGGCCCCGGGCGCACACTCCGGGTATCCAGTGTCGACGTGGACCACGGCACCACCCGCGCAACCTCAGATCTGATTTTTCTCTTTCGTCTTGTCTCATGTTGTATTCGCTCGTTTAGCCTTCACTTCTCCCTAACCCACTTTTTTTCTATACGATTTTTTTATTCTCCAGAAGGGCGGCAATTTGGGAATAGATTATGCATATATGCTGTGGATGATTACCCGGATGAAGAAATCGCTCTAGAGGAGGTATGGGCGGCTTTTTTTCTTTTCTTTTTCTTTTTTTTTTTTTTCTTTCTTTGATTCCTTTGACTACGATGATACGATGCAGATCAAAATACCTATCTCGTCTTTCTTTTCACTTGTTCACTGGGGTTTTTGATCTTCTGCGGGGGTTTTCTTCTTTCATGTGGTCATGAGCAATGGGTTGGCTTGGGTGGCATGGTCCAGGGGCGGTTATCTGAATTCATTCTTTGCTTGTTGCTATTGCCATTACTATTTAAGTTGCTGTTGCTGGATTGATGATGATCATGCTATCATATTCTTAGTGTTACATGTTACATAAGGGCCATGGGGTCGTGTACATTGAACAGCAATGATAGGTGCTATCAGCTTGGATTGATATTGTAGTTGACTGGAGGTTGATCTTGCGTGTTGCCTGGTTGCATCTTTGGTTGCATCTCTTTGGTGGGTGGGTGAGGTGAGAGATTTATACGATGATAGTCTTCTTTTTGTTCAGTTCCTTGAGAGAATCTCCGGAAACTCGGGTACAACTTACCCACAATTCAACCAAGTCAATCGAATAGTCTCATTTCGAGCCAGCTATGCGATTCTCAACGCTCCTATCCCTCCCCCACTGGCTATGGGGAGGAGGCCTGGAAGTCAGATCACTGAAGGAGGAGCCGATACTACGGAGGGTGATCACGCTCCGCGACGACGGACTGAGCGTATCCAGCAGAATCGATCGTGGCGAGATCGCATCCGGGCCATTCATCCTTCAGCAAGATGGTCTTTCGCTCCGGGGGAACACACGGGGAACACACGGGGAACAACAACGGGGAAACATATTGGGGATGCAGTGGGTAAGGTAGTTAGAGGGTGAGCTTGTTTCCGGGTGTTGTTATCTATCCATACTCCCTGGAGAGGATGCAGATGCCGCGTTAGATTAAGTTGCCATTGCCATTGGCACCGATGAACTTCCAGGGCTACGCCTGCTACAGTACCGTACCGTACAGTGCGGTCCCTACAAGCATCTCTCTCCACCACCATCTCCATCCCAAAACTGGAAGTAGAGCTCCCCCCCCCCCGGGCCATGAACCGTTCCACCAACTCCTCTCTCCACCGGAGGCACCTGCATCGCCGCAACACCGCCGCCTGCCCCGGGTCCGTGGATCAATCGTCGACGGGGTAGGGCATGGTGGTTGGCGGGGTGGATGTCGGTTTTGGGGACTTTGTTTGGGTGGTGTTGTTTTGTGGTGTTTTGGGGCTGATGTTGCTTGGATGGATGGTTGGGGTCTATGCTGAAATCTCTATACATGGGTTCTGGTAAAGGGAGAGAGAGTTGTATGGTTGTTTGGGGGGTGGTTTTTTTGAGAGTGGGGTGGTGGTAGGGGTTCTATTTTGGAGATCTGGAGAGGGAGGTTGTGGTGATAATGATGATGATGTTGTTGTTGTGGTGTATGAGTATAATAGCCAAGGGGATGAAGGGTCCATGATTGTACTGTACTTGGTAGTATATAGTCTTGGTTGTTTGGTCATTGAGAGATAGGGATGGCGAAAGGGAACAAGGGGCAGGGTGGTCTTCTCTATCGGGCTTCTGTGGTTGCTTTTTGAGGAACGGTGGATCTGCAGGAGAATTATCAGTAGCAGCACCTAACTTACCTAGTAAGGCACTGAGGATATTGATTATTCTTTTAGATCGGATGTTGTACTCAAGTAGACTGGACCTCACTTCCACCTTGATCTCCACCATGATCAGACTGGGAGTCTAACTAGTAGATTTCCCGCCTACCAGCCAAAAAAAGAAATAGATCCATCCAACGAGTCAGGTCAATTGATAAATCTCGAATGACACATAAATAGGTTACAGTACACACTCATGGTCATGATTCAGATGGATGAATCGACTCAATCGAGACTCCATGATCCAACTGTGGATCCGAACCAATTCCCAGAACAGGCAGGTCGATTTTGTGTTCACGGTGCACTGTGCTGCGCTACGGTTGCTCCAGTAAGTGGGAAATCCATTGTGATGATCCACTTGGGGTGGTTCTCCACACGGTGGAGAACCTGCTTTCCACTAGGCGCTAGTCAGGAGGAGGACGTTGGCCAGTCACCGAGCGTGGGATTACTTGGATTATTCAGAGGGTGCTTATTCACCGCAGCGGGTGTTGGCTAACTACCTTGTTGAGTAGCTATCGCTGAGCGGGGTTTGATGATAAGAGGAGGGTCAGTATTGTGGGTCTTGGGTTATACCATGATCTTGTTCGTTCTGGTAATGGGGGAGCTCTCGAGAGCATACTGTGTAGACTGTCTTCGGGAGGACGCTTTGACCCGTCAACTTGTGGTGGTTTGTGAAAGCGGTATTATCGCCATGGTACCTAGTTCCGGGATGGCTAGACGAGGGTGCTTGATTCGTATAGAGGATTGTTTTGTTGTCACTAGATGACTATTGCTATTGCTATTGCTATTGCAATGTGCCTTCAGTCATGCATCACCGGCCCTTCCACGGTATATAGTGCTTTGACTTGCAGTATAGGGACTCCTCTCCAGCTATCTCAGGCCCTTATAATATCTTGATCACGTCAATGTCAGCACTGCCATCTACCTCTATGCTTAGCACTCATATCTAAGAGTGACTCACTCTCTTAGAGATATGGCATGACAGTCCCGGATCCACTCCATGTTATATGCGATCGATCTATCATCACTAATGCTAAAGCTGCCCCTGTCTATCCAGTCCCATGAACCACACATCCCACGAACGACGCCCCAACCAGGACCCGGAATCCACACCCAGAACCCAATCTTCCGTCGTAGAGCACGACACCGTCGTTGACGAGGGCAAAGCCCTATCCCATGTCCGTGTTCAGAACATGTACGTTGAGGCAGATTCTCCCGAAGGGGGAATCTGCCGCTGCGTGATGCTGTATTTGGGAAGGTGAAAAGAAGGGGGGTCTGGGGGTTCTCCCCCAGGATGCTGCTGCTGCTGCTGCGGCTGCCACTAAGGATGATGGTGATGATGCGCCTGTGGATTTAGTGATTTGCGCGATGTCGGTTCGTGGTTACCTCCGTTACCGTACTTGTGCAAGGGGCTCGAGGCTGGCAGCCCGCTGACTCTGGTATAAGGCGCAGTGGTTCTCCATGCGGGAATTTTGGGAGCAGATGCAACTCACAGTCAAGACAAGAGGGACGGTGGCGATTTGGACTTGTGCGTCGCTTTATTCTCGTACGTTCCTCCGGCGGAGAGGGGGCGATTTGGACGCGTTTGAGCCGATCAAGGTGCCAGATCCTACTACGCCCAATGCGAGAGCCGTTCAGAGGGCGCTCTCTCACCTTGAAGATGTGGTGCTCGCGCCGTTTGAACCCCCCTCGAATCGGCTTTCGACGTCCTTGTATGATACTCTTCCTCTACCGTGGACGGTGAGTCCGCCGGTGGAAGGGTTCGCGGAAAGCCGATTCACGCGCATGGAGTGGAATCGCGGGGGTGCGGTAAAGGATGGAGGGGATTTTCTGGTGCGGCAGTTGCAGAATTTGGAGGAGTTGGGAAGGGGTCTTGGGTCGGCGAGTATGGTGAAGCGATGGCGACAGGCGAATCCTGACCTTGCTTGGACTGATGCGGATTGTGTGACGGCTGCGATAGACGAGGTTCGGAAGGCGTCGAAGGACGGAGGGTGGGTTGAGAGCCAAAATATAAGAAGAGGCTCGGGGGTTGTATTCTTGTTCAAGAAAGACTAGAATTCTAAAACAGTAGTTCGGGTATATCATGCTGGGAAATGCTGGGACGAGCAAGACGTCCAAATGCAAACTTCAACTAGCCACTCTGGCCTTGACTACAGTCGCTCTGACCTCGACTGCTCCGACGAGTTTGTCGCATGCTCTTACGCTCCTCCATTTTCGTCTCCCGAATTGTGGTCAGTTCGGACGCCACCTGTGTATGCTTCGTGCTCTGGTCGTTGTCTAACAACAGCCGCATCGTGAATGAGCCCGGGTCAAAGCCTGCCATCGAAGGCACAGAAGCCTGGTCCAGTGCCGTCCTTCTCGCCAGCTCCCAGGCAGCATTGGCCGGAGCGGGGATCTTGGCCACGCCCCCGAGCGGATCGATCATCGTCAAATCGCGCGTCACGTCTCGTCGGATCTCATTGTCGTCTTGGAATAGCCCACCGTCCGGGGAGATCTAACCTGCTTAGCCACCGAATTTGACACCCAGCCTCACCCAAGGGGATATACCTACCCCAGTAGAAAACTTCCGTCCCGGCATATGGACATAGTCATCGAACGAGCTCTCCAGAGCCGCAAAATTGAATCCCCGTTTCGGAGTGACCGGCTCGAACCGCTGGCCTACCTGCACTCGAAAGTCCACCGGCCGTCGTCGCACGGGCTTGTAGCGAGGCAACCCCAACAATAACCCTGGATAACTGCAAACCCAGCTCTGCAGCACCGGCTCGATCTCCAGCGTGAAGTGCACCCGGCTCTCCGCGCGCGGTTTCTGGATCAGCATGGCGAAGGTGAACTCCCGCGGAAGACCCGATCGCTGCAGCGTATTCTCCTCCAGGGACCAGACGATCTCGCCAGCTTCGACGTCGTACTCGCGACCCCGGGGGCTCCTCCGCGACCGGACGGACCCCTGGATGCGCATCATCTCGTACCGCTTGTACCGGCCGTTGATGCCCCCGCTCGGCGACAGACTGGCAATCAGGGGCAGGTCGGCAACCCCCAGTGACCCGCTGAGGCTGTAGTTCCACTGCATGGTCTCCGGAGACACCGCGCCGTAGAGGAGGTGCGGCGCGTGCATCAAGAATCGAGGATTGTTCCGGGCTCGAGCCGCTGCCTCGGAGGATGGGGGGTCCCGACTCCCGTGGACGGATGCGCGGATGGTCGCAGCCTTGAAGCGATGCGACAAGGTGTTGGGCGAGTGGAAGACAAAGGTCACGCCGAGAAAATCCACATGGTCGGCGTCTTGGTTGGAGACGGCGGGGCTGGAGTAGTACCCGTGCTGGAGGCGCTGCACTCGCGCGGTGATGTATGCGTCCCCAGGGAGATGACGCTCGTAGATGCACGCTCCGTTGATGAGAAGACGAGGATTGACGAGGTTGGGATCGGGTAGCGCTGAGTCGGAAGGTGTCTTCGTCTTTTCAGGGGGCTGAGGGGCCAGGGGGCGAGAGGACGGCGGTGCTGCTCCAACGGGCTGTTGCAATGACGCTGGAGAACGATCGATAGTCACCATGGCCACTGTGGGAGACTTCATCCTAGAGGACACTGCTTTTGCGCTGTTACCATCAACCTGGATTCCCATCGCAAGGTTGCCTGTATCGGATCTCCATGGGCAAAGGTAGATCGAGAGACCCCGGGAAACTGGGGTTCAGATCTGGTAGATGGGAATCTGGGGTAGAACTAATTGTGGACTAATTGTGGAAGTCATGATTATAGACAAGGAGTGAGAGTGATCAATGACGACAGCGTTGGCGACCGACGGACGAGGCTTTATCAGGTGAGGGGAGGGAAGCAAGTCAGATGAGGCGATGCGATAACGAACAGCAGACGTCGGCTGCCAAGATGGGCGGAATCAGTCGACGCTTAAGTCGAGTGCTTACAGGAACCAGAGCATGTCAGCTGCTGTTCCTGACTGCGTCTAAGTCTTGCGACCGACGAGAATCTCTTACTGGTTGGTTGATGGTACACGGGTGGGTGATTTGGGTGGATGAGGCTGATCCCGTCACGGTTGGAATTCCTTGGTTGGATCGGCCTAAGGAGTTACTCAAACAATGCTTAGCTATCGCCGTCTCGGCTGATTTACTACCCAGTAGTACACTTAGGCCACATCTTTCTACCGTCATACGCTCGACATGAACTCAAGATCTCTTGAATCTTAGGACAGAAACAATTGTCGATAATCTCGCACAAGTGAACCCTGAATTCTGAAACTAGAATGCCATAATTACTGATGGTCTACGGTGTACGTACAGTTGTCGGAAAGACCGGACTATAACGACCATGTTATATCGCACAAAGTGCCGAATCCACTGGTTCCACATTCACACGTGGGATGTCGTATCAGCTGTTGGCTCACCTTGGCAAGCACTAACCGTGATGCTGTTATGCCTGGCAATAAAGAGTGACAGAAGCAGACATTCTGGCAAGAGGAGTCTCATGAAGCTGTGCTGATGGCTACAAATTACGACATGACAACTCGCCGAGTTCAAAGAGGATAGAGTCTGACGAGCCATGCTGTTGTCCTGAGGGTGTAGACACACCTCCTCTACATTTTGGTGAGTTCAGGCCGGATGCTTGCACAGCTGCCTGGTATGGCTGGATGGCCAGCTGTTGGATCGTCGTGCTTATCTGGTAACAGAATATAACTGGTGCTTGACTATCTTTATCTTCTCAACGGCTTCACAATCGCTTCCTACTGGTGCTTCTCGCGGCCGCGGCGTGTTGCAGCCGAAGGTGGGATTGGAGAGTGATACGGTATACATGAGTAGTCGGCATGTACTTCTGTCGGTCAGAGGAATTGTTTCATCCGCCGTTCATATGCCCTATACCTACCAAAGCAGTGCGGTCAAGCAAGATGCATGCAGGTTGCGAAGGTTGTGCATTCAA